AGTGTAAGTAAAACCAACCAGTGCCCCCCCCCGCCTTGCCCCCTTCCCAGCCCCTCCCTGCCTTGCAGTGCTTTTGACATTCCTGAGGGATTTCACCCTGTATAAAACAGATGGAAAAATGCATCTTGCCACTGAACAAAGCTGAGATGGCAGCTGAGCATTTTAATTAAAAAGAAAAAAGTAGATAAAACCTTTTTATTGTTACTGAGGGTCTTCTCTGAAAAGCATTAGTGTATCACTGGTTATTTATCATTGTAACTGTAATGAGGAAGAGCCTTTTCCATTCTCATCAATCTGGCAATGTCCTTTCTGGTTGTCTCTTCTGCCGTTCTGTGAACTTGAACGTTTGACCTCTTCTGTAATGTTGGATAAGATATGCAATAATGAAGATAGCCTGGTTTCATGAAGGTCATTTTAATCATATAAATGGATCAGATAATGACAGCCTGCACCAAGGGTAAAAGCACACTTTGATCCACCTGTGAGGAGCAGGTGAGGGGATTAACCCTCTTTCTGCTTTGACTTTCATAGGACAGAAATTCTGTGCTGTTAACCACTGAGCATGGATTACAGCTGGTGTTTTCAGAGCTATTGTTTTAACTGCATCCCTCTAACCAGTTGTTTGTTCTAAATGAGCGAGTTCTTGGGGGCCAGATGGAAAGCAACTTCGCATTTTTAGAAGGCATGAACTACTCTTTCATTCTTTATACTTTGGCATGTCTATTCTTGGCAGTTTTATATAGTCTATTTGGGCCAAGCTATTAATTAGCAGCAGTGTACCTTTGATATAGAGATAATAATTGGGACATCCTGGGCAGATTGGGTGGAGTTCTTCCATGTTTGAAGGGATATACTAGTTGTTTTTTATGAACAATATGTACACAAGTTTTGAGTAGGTGTCAAAGGATTCATGAGAGCATGAGGAGGAGTTGCTGCAGCTGACTCATGTAATACTTTCTCAAGAAGCCCGAACTGCAGCTCAGCTAATGTGCAGAATATGGGGATGCCTGAGAGAGATATTTTTTCTTCTGATTAAGTAGTGTTTGCCACTGCAAAGCACCACAGGAATATGTACTAGTCTGCCTCATTTCAGTTTGAAAATGAGAGGTAGTGATCAATTCTGTATGATATGATATACAGTTCCACAGAGGACATTAGGAAGGGGGATAGAATGACCAAGAAAGCCAGAGATACCAGTAGGAGTCATGCTCTGGCAGCTTAACTATTAAGGAATTGCTACAGTAGGAACTTCCTTATTCTTTTTCCTGTTATGTTGTCTTTTACTCTTCTCACTCTTAAATAAATTGCAAAAATTACCTAATGCCCAACTGCCATCTCATCCAAGGTATTATAGATAGTGTTTCCAGACACCCAGCTCATAATCTTGCTGCAAGAGTTCCTTGTCTTTCCTTGTCTTTTATCATAAAAAACCTGTTGCACAAAGGGAAGATAGACATCTTTGACTTTTTTCTCTGTCCAGCTAACCACCTGCTTTGCTTTCTCCTACATCTGTATTATCCTAGTTGAAAGGCGATGAAGGTGCAGATAGCTTGAAAGGAGGGGGAAAAAACCCAACCCTACAAAACAACAAAAACCTCACCAACTTTGGTCTTAAACACTTGGTTCTGTGTGTTTAGCTGTAAGACCACAGAAATGTCTTACTGGGTAGGAGATGGTACTTAGGGAGAGCATTATCCTTCTGCTACATGTGGCCCACTTCCTTTCTATTCTCCCCAGCATCTGCAACTGTTGGATTAGGAGTCTTCAAGTTGTCTTTTCAAAATTGATCACACGTGAGTGTCTCTATATTAACAGCACATGTAATAATCATGCTCAATGAAATGAAGTTTAGCATCCAGTTGTGGGAGTCCCTCTATACATAGTTCCTGGAACCACTTGGAATTCAGTGGGAGCTTACACAGGGAGCAGCAGTTAATGGACAGTGTGCAAATGAAAAATGGGGTCACAATTTTGCTGCTTTTCAGGTCAACCCACCTGCTGTGCAAATGTCTTGAAAGCATTTGGAAAAAAAACCAATTTAAATAGAGTTTGTTTAGCACTTTTTTTAAACTCAAATATGTCTGGTTTGAAAAACTTATCTGAATGCTCTTGAGTATGCTCACGTATTGAATTTTTGTATGTAGTGTTATTTGGGTAACCCTACCAAGAGAAGCCAATGCCCATTGTTGCATACAAAATACAGACTTGTGAGTGAAAAAAAAGTATTAAAAACTCCCCCCTTACCTTTTTTTTCCTACTGATAAAATATTAAATTGGCTGATCAAGACATGGACTTGGATAACATGGAATAATTTATATCTGCAGTGCTTAATTTTCAAATTTATTAGCCCAAACTATTAACTATTTACTTCTAAATAGCAATCTCATTTGTAGACAAACTTATTCACTTGGAAAAAGAAGTTGGAAAGCTGAAACTTTCCACTTATTTGTGACTTGGTTAAGCTTGGTTAAGCTGACAGATTTTCTGAGAATCTAGTCGGATAACTTCTGTTGGTGTCACAGTTTTGTTTTGAAAGTGATACAGCGGCCATCCAGCTAGCAGTGACAAGCCAAACCAGCTTGTTTTGGCTGACCCTTATTTTGTCAGGCCAGGGTTGAAAAGTGGGAACTAGAGGCTCAGAAACTTTGAGTTAATCAACCATGTTGAACCAAGGGCTGCTGCACAGAAAGTGTCGTCAGCTGAACAAAGTCAGTGCACCTATTTCTCTTGGCTGAGAGAGAGATGGCCCTCCATAGCTCTAGACCTGTGGAAAAGTTTTGGGTTTTTTTAAAAAGTATTTGCAGCCCCTTCCCCCTGGGTGCTTTCAGGTGGCATTAAAAATGCACAGGTCCAGATAAATTCCTTTACCTTCCTATGTGGGAAGTGTGTGGATCTGTAGTAACTGATGCAGTATATTTTGATGTAAGCAATAATTTTGCTGGCCATTCAGAGACAACATTTTGTGATATGTGCTCTGGGATAAAATGTACTTGCTCACTGATGTAAATCTAGCATAACTTTCTTGGACTCTGTTTAATAGAGTTTTGCTTGTCTGGTTCCAAAAAGCTTAAGCTTTCCAGCCATGATCTAGCTGCATTGTATGGCTGGATTTACATTCGTGGTGCAGTGTGACTTTGGCACGTAGGTGAGGAACTGCAGAGGTTACAGGTTTCTCCTGTTAAGGAGATATTCTCTGTAACAGCAATATATGACTCCCCATCCTTTTAATCCAAGAATGACACTTTTATTTTTCAGGTCACTGTAGAAAAATGGGGTTTTTTTCCTCCTGCTCCGTGGTAAAATTGTCTAGCAATGGGCTTTATTTGAAAGGGTATTAAACTCCTCTTTTATTTATGTGAACTGCATGATCCTTTAAGGAGAGTAACAGAATAATCATTTTAGTTTGGTCTCTTTCCATAGGATTCCCCTGCTACATGTTATATTCTAGCTAAAAGAGACACCACCTTCTTTGCCCATGTTCCCCCTCAGTAAGAAGCAGTTACAGTAATGTTGCTAATTAGGCAGTGTGCATATTGTGGACTATGTAAAGTCCCTGGATATTTTTCCTACGCCTTCCTTCAATTCTGTCTCACTATGAAATATGCTACTCCTACTTGTTAGTCCACACCATGACACAGATCTGAGTGGGTGTATCCCCTCGTGCAGAGTTTCGCTTGAAGACATGTACAACCTTTTATTCTGTTACATAACCAGTCCATTGAAAGCTGGTCAAAGTAAATGCTATTCATGGGCTATCTGAATAAAAAAATTTATTTGCTTGTGTTGAACAAACATAAAGAAATAATCTGCATATCTGACATTAGTTTTACCAGTGCAGTAAGCTGAGCTGTAGCAGTGCCTGTCCTGTCCTGTCTCTTAATATGTTCAATGTGTCTTGCTTTTTCTCTCTTGGGTTCCCCTTTTGCCATTTTGGCCAACGGGCCCAGACCTGATGTGCAACAAGTTCTGCTGTCCTTATTCTTCATTTCTCCGATACACCTGTGTCAAAAAACACTCTAGTACTGTACTGAAATGAGCATAGATGCTTTTAATTAACACACACCATTATTCAATTTCACTTACCATTTGACATGAATGAGGTATTCCAGTCCTGTAATCTGAACAATTAATGTTTTAAGTAATTGCCTGTCAACTCTGATGGCTGAGCAGCAAAACTGGACAAATACAGGTAGCACTAATGCTGTTTTCCCAGGAGCATTGTTTGCAAGGGCAACTGTGGTTTTACCTTTTGGAGAAGAAGAGGGCTCCTCTTTCCCTTTTGACGTGTAATTCAGGGGGCGAAGTAAGCACCTTATAGCCAGGCTGCTTTGCCAGAGAACCTTAGAGCAATCAGCCAGGTTCATGAGTGGTTGTCTTTCTATGGTTTTAAATTAAAATAAATTACTATTATTATTATTATGGGGAGGGTGTTTGAGGTTTTGTGTTGGGTGGTGTTTTTTTGTGGGTGTGACTGTTTTGTTTTGTTTTTTTTTCTTTTTTGAGACTGAAAGACTGAAACCAGCCTGGTGTTCGATACCTAAGTGTTGAGAGACTAGTGTGATTAACTTTGAAAATAATCCCAAGCACCTTGGGGCTGTTGTAAATCCAGATTCTTAGGAGAGCAAAATTCTGCTGTAATGGCTCCACTCTAGAGACATTTGTATCACCAGCTTGCTTTTCTAATACTGCAGTGCCCCATACAGTATAGTGTTTGGAAATGAATACTGTAGCACAAGAGAGATTTCTACCCCTGTTTTGAATGCAAGTGACCTCTGGGCTCTGTGGAGGAAGGCACTTCACCGAGTGGAAGAGTTTGTGACCCTGACTTCCCTCTGAGCTAGGCAGGTGTAGGTGTGAGGGTTGATTACAGGTCATAATACACCTACATAATCTACTAGTCTGTATCACACCAGGTTGATTTTGGTGGCTTTTCCCATTGAGCAAATACTAAACCAATTGGGGGTCTGGCTTTAACTGTTGTACCTATCACCATCCCCAGGCAAGGGACCTGAAACTCTTTATGCTGGGCAGAAACTCAATGACAATGAGTGGCACACTGTTCGGGTAGTTCGGCGAGGAAAGAGCCTCAAGCTCATGGTGGATGATGATGTTGCTGAGGGTAAGTGTGATATATGAGTAATTTTTGTCATTATATTTGTATCTCTGTTCCCAGTCTCTTCTTTGCCATTACACCCATTCTCCCTGTTCTTGTGTGTATCTCTTCTTTGTTTTTTTTTGTTTTTTTTTCTTTTCCTTCCTGTTACTTGTATATTTAGTGTTATTATGTTGAAAACATACATGTTTGGTTTTGAGAGACTGTTCTTAGTCAGCACTGGAAACTTCTGTGACAACTATGACTATATGAATTGAGGGATTAGGGGACAGATGAGCTTGCACATGCCCAAGAATGCAGAGGTGCTAAGCAGCATTCTCTCTTGTGCCAGGCTCTGTTTGGAGTACAGTGTGAGTATGCCTCATTCGTGAGCTGCAAATGTGGCAGTTTCCAATGCTGTAGAATCAAAACCAAGGCTTTCTAAACCTTTCCTCTGCACAAACTTTTCCTTGATGGTAAACCTGTGTTTGATAGATGTGTTAGAGAATATGGATTCCTGTCTCTGCTGTTGTTTTTTTGTTTGTTTTGTTTTGTTTTTTTCCAAGTTCCTGTGCTCATGGCTCAGAGCCATCCAGAAGGAAAAACAAATAGAGCAGTTTGTTAGTTTGTTCCCAACTTTGTTTCAGAGGTTAGGGAGGACCCTAACTCACCAGAGTATATCATATCATAATGTATAGGTCTGTCAGGTTTTTTTTTGTGTTTCCCCCCCCCCCCCTCCCTCCTTTTTGTGACAGCTTTTTAAGCTCCTGCTTCTTTTTGTAGAGAAATATAGTTGAAGTGGGGAAGAAAAGATCAATCACTCACGAAAGCTGGTGTCTCCCACATTACGAGATTTGCATTGAAATGATCAAGGTATTTTAGATTGATCTTTTTTTCATTACAAAATTTCAGAGGTGATACTTTTCTGGTCCATTTTCCCACATCTGCAAGAGCCAGAAACTTATTTTTCTTTTTTTGAAGGTCTAAAATTTTCATAGCTGTATATAACTGTAGGAAATGGATTTTGAGGAAAACACTTGCAGTCTGAAGGCTGATAATAGAATCACAAAGAACAGTAACCCTGGATGCAACACTGATATGGATACGTTCATTTAGTTGTGACCCATGTTGGTTTGCCAAATGCTGATGTCCTTTCTTCTGAGTAGCTTCTACTCAGAAGGCAACTAGAAGGAAGGGCTGCCGTATGCAGTGCCAGGATACTATATCCTATCTCTGCAAAAAGTTCTTTTCTACTGTGTGAATGCAATTAATTTTTAGTAATGTGGTAATTAGATTATTTGGAAAGCTGTGAGTCAGGATTTTGAAATAAGCCCAAAGGAGGGGGTTTGCAGGAAAATTACTTGATAGATATTTTTCCCTCTGAAGTAAATATATGCTGTGCTATATAGGCTGAGAATTTGAAAGAGAGAACCATAAGCATATGAAAGAGTCTTTCCCTTTCCTTGCTGGAACTGGTGGAGGCTGAGTCAACATTAGCTTGTAGGAAAATGAAATTTTATTTAAGAAGGAACTTTCTGAATTAGTGAAGCATGCTGTTAAATATTTAATCCTATTTATTTCTGCATTTAAGAACAATTCTTCTGGATATGCTTTTTTAGCAAGCACCATGAGGTGGCACTCTCTGCATTACCAACTCAATCCCCAAAAAGCCATCTGTTTTTTTTGAAGTCTCTTTTCCATGAAACTGAGTTTATAAATAATAATGATACAATCCTATACTAAAATAGGATGTGCATATGTACATGTATATGAATTACATAATTAAAGATGCATTACAGCTAAATATATCTGTTAAAAGAATGCTATCATGGCAAAGTCAGAAAAGCCAGAGTTAAGATTTTCTATGCAATCTGCATCCCACTTCCTTGGGCAGATGATAGTCTTCAATGATGTGGTCACATAGATTTTTCCACAGGATTTTTGCTGTCTTTACAAATAGATCAGAAGTCTAAATTGGGCTCCCAGTAAAAATAAACAGCCTATTTGATTGCTGCCTTCTTTCTTATTGCTTGTTTGGAACAATGCATGCCAACTAAATTTTGCTCTAAATATAGAGCTGTTGTTTTGCCCTTTTTTTGTGTGTGTGTTGTGTGCCACTCATCAATATGTTTATGCAGAACTAAGAAGCTGTAACTGGATTTATTCCCACATCTCTGTTGTATGAAGTGAGTAGGTGTCTTTTTCCCGTTTTACAGGTTTGGAAACAAGGCACCAGATTAAAGTTGGATGTATTTGGTACCAATTTGGCATGATTTTTTCAGTCATTTGCATGCATAAATATTCAGCATGTCTGTAAATTGGATCCTGTAAATTAGCTCAACCCTGCTACTTGGAGAATTAGGTCTAGACAATTAATGACCACCTGTGAAAAATTGGTAATGAAGTGGCTGACTTGGCTTCCTGCAGGACATCTAAGGGAGAGACAGAATCCATTTCCTTTGGACAGCATTTTGCTGCTTAATCACAAAACCCTCCTCCCCCATTACCCCCCCTCCACGTCAGAACATCAGTGATAAATGAGACACAAATATAGCAGTCATATTCCTCCCTACATATTGCTAGCACCCAAATACCACAGTGGAGGCTGGAATTTTTTCTATCTGCTACCATTTGAACTGAAGTGCTGCTGATTGCTGTAATAGTTACAATACTCTACAGAGCACAGTGGAGGAATTAGAGGAGAACTCTGCAGGTGAGGCTGACAGCTAATGAGATCAGAAAATACTGGATTTCACTCCATGATTTCTTAAGAAAATGCATCTCTGTCCTGATTCTGGTCTTGTATTGTCATGTCCTTTTCAGCTTTTCACTGAACTACTAACTTTCTGCACTGCCACTGCTATCACTGGCCTATTTCTCTTAAGCCACTCCCAGTTTTCTCATTTTTCACCTTTTCTAAAATTCTGGGTTCATCTCTTCCATCCTCCCTCACTCCATTTCTAATGGCCCCTATATTTGCGTTCCCTGTTCCAGTGTACTCTAGATTTCACAAGCCTGGCTTTTCTTTCCTACTCTGGCAACAACTTCTTTGCATTTATCTAAGACTAGAAGAGTTAAGGAGAGGAGTTTTCTTGCTCTTAGTCCTTGACATCTCTACAGTTTATTTTTCTAATCTTTCGAAATAAAGAAGTGGGATTTCTTTTTAAAGTGTTTTCTTTAAATTTTATTTTATTTTTAAGAAAATGAAATTCTTCTGGTTTGGAAAAATCAGAAATTTTCATTTGCTAACACTAAACTGAAACAGCCCCTAACAATCACAGTAGTGGAAGTGACATGGTTTGTCTAAACAAACTGTCTCATATACAGTTTCAATTCCTGTGAACTGGCACTTTTCAAACTAAAATATTTCTGGAAAAGAACTGTTTCAAGATTTAAAACATTTGCATTGGTACTGACACTTGAATTCTGAAGAGTCAGAAATATGTGACTCTTCAGCTGCTTGTAAGTTTGTCCAGCTGCATCTGCTTGGGTTAAAGCTTTCCATGTCGATGGTCTTTTTATAATTTTCTTTAAATTTAGATTCACTGCTAAAATAAGGAATAAGTGAAAAAATAAATTGCTTTGCATAATATTTTCTCGTTGTATTTGGAATAGATACTTGAAAACATTTTCTCTAATAACAACTGTGCTTGTTTGCTGTCTTTGCAAAAACTTGGATCACATTTGGACAAAGTATAAGCTGAAAAATTGCACTTTGTACATGATCATGAGAGGTGAGTTAAGAATATTCCAGTGTTTCAAGAAGACCTAAGCAAGAAAGAGACCATCGGTTCGTTTAATCTGACTCTTCGTACACCACAAGCCAGGATTTATCATCCAAGTGTCCTGTAAATGTTTTCAGCTTTCATTCTGTCCCCAACAGAAAAAAGAATATGTTGTGAATAGTAGGAAAAGTCTCAAAAGGCCTATCAATATATCTTTTGTTTGTTTGTTTGTTATTTTAACGCTTGGGAACTGTTTAGATGAGAAACGCTAAGAGATTTCAGGAGATAGCACAGAATATGAGAAAGCTTGTAAGTCCCGGTTGATGCGACCTGGGGGAATTAAAAGAGGAGTCTGTCCTGGACTCAGCTATGGTGATCAGTGTGACTCCCAGATATAATCCCAATGACTCAGAAATACCTCTTGCAGTGACTAGTCAAGAGTTGTGTATATATGCTAAGCAATTAGCAGATGCAATCAAAGAGGGTATTATTGCTAACTTTTGTCTGTCTATAGCACACTGGAAACACTTACTTGGGTCTTTATCCAGGTGTCAATTTTTCACAAAACTAGTATGAATTTAAATATTTTTGACCCTTCTGGTCAAATTCAATCAGGTTTAAAAGAACAGCATGTTAAAATGTTGTTGGAGGCAGAGGGACCAACAGGTAGCGTGTGGCTGTTTCCTTTGGAAAACCTTCTAAAACAAAGCACTTTACCTGTGCGGTAATTATATTAGCAACATACTAGAAGGTTAAGTAGAGAAACATGTAAAAGTAGGGAAAAGTTGAAAGTAGATAGGTCTGTGTTAGTATGAATTTTAATGTTGTTTGATTTCATATTTGCTGCTGCTCTCCTTTTTCCACAGGAGCTTTGCTTCTCTGCTTACATTAAGAAAGGGCAATACAGCAAAGGGATTGGCATAGGTCTTTGTATTAAAGGAGGCACTTGTTTTTAAGATCCTCTTTGAAAAGTCTGTAGTGAATGAGACATGGTATGGTTAAAAAATTGAAAGGGACCTCTATGTAAGGCATGTGAATACAGCCCAGAGGAATTGACTTCTCTACTTTGGAGTTCCTATGGAAAGCTGGATAAGTCACTTGAAGTCATATCTTTCACAGTTCATCACTAATTGTACCTGTCCTTTTGGGAGGTACTTATTTGGGATTGTGGATCTTATTTCTAGAAGTACTGAGCCTCAAAACCAGTGAATGCTCCGAAGTTGTTACATACTCTACTAAATTGGATGCCAAATTTTTCTTTTTTGAGATCCAAAACTATTTATATGTTGTTCTCTCTGTTCCTCAGCTTTGTGTATATAAAATCAAAAGTAATTTTCTTTTGATCTTGCAGAAGTGGTAGAAGATGAAGTGAATATTTGAGAATAATTTGCACACTGTGCTACTGAACTTGTGGGTTGACTGTGGCTGGCTGCCAGACACCCACCCAGTTGCGCTCTCATTCCCTCTCCTCAATAGGACAGGGGAGAAAATAGGATGAGAAGACTCATGGTTCAAGATAGAGATAGGGAAATCACTTACCTGTTACTGTCATGGACAAAACAGACTTGACTTGGGGAAAATTAATGTAATTTATTGCCAGTTAAAAAATTGAGTTGGATGGTGAGAAACAAAGGCAAAAGGTAAAACACCATCCCCCACCCCCTCCTTTTCTCAGGTTTGTTCCTTCATTCCTGACTCTTCTACCTCCCCCCCACTTCCCGGCCCCCCCCCCCAGTAGTGCAGGGGGATGGGGAATGGTGGCTGTGGTCAGTCTGTAACAGCTCCATTCTGCTACTCCTTCTTCGTCACACTTTTCCCCTGCTCCAGTGTGGGCCCTTCCCACAGGCGGCAGTCCCACATGAAGTGCTCCTGCATGGGTTCTCTCCACAGGCTGTCAGGGAAACCTGCTCCAGTGTGGGCTCTCCATGGGCCGCAGTTCCTTCAGGAAATACCCACCTGCTCTGGCATGAGGGTCCTCCACGGGCTGCAGTGTGGGTGTCTGCTCCAGTGTGGTCTTCTCCATGGGCTGCTGGAGAATTTCCACTCTTGCGCCTGGAGCGCGTCTTCCCCCTCCTCTTTTTCTGACCTTGCCGTTAGTGGGGTTTTTGTTTTGGTTTGGTTTTTTTCCGTTGTTCCTCGCTCATGGGCAGCGTTTTGCCATTTCTTAAATACACTTTCCGAAAGGTGCCACCGTCGTGGCTGCGGGGCTCCGCTGTGCCCTGCGGTGGGTCTGTTGTGGAGCCGGCTGGAACCGGCTGTGTCCGGCATGGGGCAGCCCCGGCCTCTCCTCACAGAGGCTGCCCTGCAGCCACCCCGCAGCCAGCACCTTGCCACGTAAACTCAATACAACACCGCAGAAAACTTCACATGAGGAAAAAATAATGGCATATTTGTAGCAGAGTTTGAATAATGGTTGTACATTGAATGATGAGAAAACAATTAAATGTTGAATAATTCATGAATTTAATGTTATTCGTGTTGCATACTAAATGGCACAAGGCCTACGTAGAAAGGTTACTTGTGTGACCAAATAGTTTAAACTTATCTTGATGAAGAAGTATAGAGGACTAAAATAAGGTTGGTTGTAATGGTTTTCATTCTGATGTTGTCCAGCTTGCCTTTGTACTCAAACCAGTCTTTTAGCATACAGTTGTATTTCATCTGTCTGTGTGGGTTCTGTGTCTGTACTGATGCCTAGCACACCTATTGAAACATTTAAATATGCTTCAAGAGTAATCTGACATATTTGGTATACTGAAGAGCTTGAATATTTTAATGGAGAGGTTAAAATCCATCAAAATGTGATAAATAGCCCAAGTGGTAGGTTGATGATTTAAATATATGGAGGGCTTTTTGCCTGTTGCATTCTTGTGTGTTTCCCTCCTGCTGTGCTCTTAAAACAAGAGAAATAACATTGGGCACTGGGAGAGAACAACAGAGTAAATATTAGCAGGTTTATGACTGTTCTCACTTCTCATTCTGCTCTTTTGGTATTATTCTGTGTTTATTGAGTGTTGTTTTAGAAGTGTCTGAGTTGTTTGGCAGATGGACCGTTGGATCAAGTAGATCACTGTGGGCTTTAAGGGAGAGACCTAGTCTTCTTTGCAAACAAAAAAGTCTGTGAAACGCAGGTTAAAATACAGAACTTGCTGCCCATGGCCCTTTAGTCCTGTCGTCTCTCTTCTGCCGGGTTTTGGCAACTGCTAGACTCGAGCCTCTCCACGAGGAGTCTATATGTTCATTCCTATGCAAGCTGCTGAACAGTGATCAGATATGATTAAGTTAGTACTGCTGTTAGTCTGGAAACTGGAAGGTGAGGGGCTCCATATAGCCTATTACTGATCCCTGGGCTTTCTGCATGTTCTTCTTTTGTTTCTGTCCTTCAGGCACAATGGTTGGTGATCACACCCGCTTGGAATTCCATAACATTGAGACAGGGATCATGACGGAGAAACGGTACATCTCTGTCATCCCCTCCAGCTTCATTGGCCACCTCCAGAGCCTTATGTTCAACGGGATGCTCTACATTGACCTGTGCAAGAATGGTGACATTGACTATTGCGAGCTGAAGGCACGCTTTGGTCTCCGCAACATTATAGCTGACCCTGTGACGTTCAAGACCAAGAGCAGCTACCTGAGCTTGGCCACCTTGCAGGCTTATACATCCATGCACCTCTTCTTTCAGTTCAAGACCACCTCAGCTGATGGTTTCATCCTCTTTAACAGCGGTGATGGCAATGACTTTATTGCAGTTGAACTAGTCAAGGGGTAGGTGACTTTCTGCTATATTCTACCAGCTTATTTATAGATAAACTTATAGGTAAGCTTAAAATGCTTGCATAAAGAGAAATTCACCTCATACTCGTGTTTTCTCTGTTTGCTGAGGTGTATGACAAAGCACTTGGACATAAACACTGAAGCTTAAGACTCCAAATTTTATCACTGACTTCCCCCTGCGGCTGAGGGAAAGACATTTTTACAGTGTGAAATATGAATGTTTTAAGTCCTTTGGATCTAGTTAGGCTAATGTTTTATCCTGTTAACCTTGCAGAATAGCACAGAGGAGGAGGAAGTGTGCTGAGGGCTCTGAGTCTTTCTTCCTGCTTATATTTTTTTTCCCTGTAACAGACTCATTGTGTTTCTGCCATCTCCACTGAAGGAAAAAAAAGAGCATGTGGGCTATTGAATTTATATTTCTGCTGGTGATGCTTGAGAAGTGAACTCAGCTTGCTTTTGAGCTGCTGTAGTCCTTTTGCAAGACCGATAGCTTATTAACAAAACCCCTTTGTTAGCTGAACAAATTTTAATCTCGTATACTCACCTAGTCACAGTAGACGTTTTCCACAAGTACAGTTTACTAGTCCTGTTTATTTCAGTATAACTATAGTTTAATCTGTTTCCTTTTTAACTTTGCACATATTTCTGTAAGTGAGACATTGAGCAATAAAAAAAGCAAGAGTCACAAGCTCCTGGTGTTCTGTGAGTTGAATTTTGTTGTCTTTTTTTTTTTCCTTTCTAAGTAGAATATTTCTCTTCTATCCTCGGGTGGATTTCTGTGTTTGGACTATATAAATAATTCAGGGTAACACTCCCATGACTTCAGTCTTTGTAATGGTCTTTATTTTTTGCTGAAAGCTTTGCTAATTGTTTTCCAGCTGTTTGAATAAGGCTAGGATCTCGTGTGAATTTTAGTACAATATTTTGAGTGAGTTTCCCAATTAACTTCTTAAAGGAGTTATTCAAAACTCAGAATGAATCTGGTGTTTATGTGCCCCAAATAAGCATATCTAGTGGTGTTCTCCAGTACATTTATCAATATTACCAATTTTAAAAAAAACATTATATGCACAGACAGGCTTTTTGTGTATCTGTGAGAAATTTGTGAAAAAGAGGAATGCTTTATGGTTAGAATCTGATTACTTCAAATGTCATAATCTCAAAATACTATCCTTATACTTTCTTGGTGGAAAGGGAACAACTAGACCTCTTCAAATTGGTGGCTAATATTTTGGCTTACTAGAACTTTCTAACCCAGAGATACTTCCCTTTGTGGCTTTTGTAAGTTAATTTATCAGCTCTGGCTAGAATAAGGGTCAGTAGCGTTGGAGTTCTTACATAATTTTAACTAGTTCTTGCTATGTTTACAGGTATATACACTATGTGTTTGACCTTGGAAACGGACCTAATGTGATCAAAGGCAACAGTGATCGTCCTCTTAATGACAACCAATGGCACAACGTCGTCATCACCAGAGATAACAGTAACACACACAGCCTAAAGGTGGACACTAAGGTCGTCACTCAGGTTATAAATGGTGCCAAAAATCTGGATCTTAAAGGTAAATTCTACGAGACTTGACAGTTCCCCCCTTTATTCTTCCGGGGTTCAAGCAGTGCACAAGAGAAAGA